AAGGGTAGAGGACAAACTGCAGTATGCATTTCTGCATAGCAATCTGAAATTTTGAAACAGTTAGAATTATACCACTTGATGCCCTGCAATAGCGATATTTGTTCAAAACTATCAGAAGCTGATTAGGATGCACATGAAAATTGAATACGGCCACAAAGCAAAAGGTTTTTTTAAAACACACACACAGAAAGAGAGAGAGAGAGAGAGAGAGCAGTTGTGTAATAAGTATATTTATTAAACAATATACATTTTGCCACATACATGAAAGTAAACAGACCCACACTTGTTACTCAGATATTTGCTTTCCTAGTACACCACACTGGTTCTCTTCTGGCGTTGCCATTACTGCTGGTGTAGTGGACCAGTCAAGGATGGAAGTAGGATAAAGAAGAAGGGGTTATATGGGAAAAGATTGTGAATTGCAGGTACCTACAGACCACCCTTTGCCAACTCAACCAGGCTAAGTGAGGCTCCTGCTTTCCATATCTTAAACCTCCATTTTGCTCACTGACTATCTTATCAACGATAGAGTAAAATTCTGCTCTGGCTTCCTGTTCTTCCTCCTGTGACACCTTCAATTGAAATTAAATTCCACAGAGATAACTGCACATTGCATTAAAAAAGATTTATAAATAAATGAGTAGTGTGGAAGCTAGGCCTTAATTAAAAAGTCACACACCCACACCCAACCCTCTTTAGCAAAAGGCTCCATATAGCTTGCTGTAAGGAGAGCTAAATTGTGCAGCCTTTGCTCACTTGAGTCCAGCTTCCAGCACTAACTAGAGCATACCGTCTCAGAATAAACGCAAGCTGAAGCTTGCAATACTTATAAAGCAAAACCACAGTTACGTAGCTGTCACAATAATTTTACCTGAAGCAAAACCAAGATCTTCTTCAGGCCAGACATTTAAGGAAACTCAACCAAATACAGTTATAAGGCAACATATTATGCCTTGTTTAAGTTCTACACACCCTTATCTATGATGTATTCAAAAACGTATCCAGAATGCCCAGTAAGGCCTTTGAAATTGCCCCGAAGGTCGCCTTCAGTCTGGTGGGTTTTGGGGTGCCTTCTCCAACATGCAACTGGTGCAAAAGTAGTGCATTAGTGGTGGATTATACTGGACCATGCACACATCATTCGTTGTTCTGTGATTCTTCCCCCACATCACTCTTGCACTGCGGTGTCACAACAGCGGGGCAAACAAAAAGGAAAAAAGGAAAACAACCCACACAAAACGCACAAATAAACCAGAACATTTGTGAAATAAAAAGTTGCAGGATTACAGCGGCAAATTATAGGATATGCACTGAGTGGAAACAAATCACAATGTCCACCCCAAATCTTCGGCGCTGCAAACAGTGTTGAAAGTGAGATTGCATGTAATCACCACAATACTGTACTATCACAAGCACAAATCATGAATGAACAATCAAAAGGATGTCTGAGGCCGTTCACTGAGTTTGGGATCGTTCATCCAGAGATGTAGGAAGCTATCTTATGTTGGGTCAGCACATTGATCCATCTAGCCCAGAACTGTCTACACTGACTGGAAATGGCTGTCCAGTGCTTCAAAGGAGTCTTTTCTAGTCCTACCTGAAGATTCTGGGTATGACTCTCAGTTCTTCTGCATACAAATCACGGGATCTATCAGCAAGCCATAACCCATTCCCCAGTAATGCAATGCAGAAGATTTTGAAAGGTTTATATAATTGGGGGTGATTTGGGATGACTTGGCAGGAGGCCTTGAAATAAGACCCCAAACAGCTTTTTTAAAAAGATCTGGTTCTACTGAAATATCTAGTTATGTGCTTTCCAAATGCCATTCACCCACTGAAACATAAATGTATCTGATACGCCTTTTCTTTATCTGCACTTGCAAAGAGCAAGGGGGTGTGGATCAGTGCTATAAAGTGTTGGGTTTGGTTTTTTTTATTAAAAAAACAAATGAGGGAAATATGGTTTTAAAATAAGTAACATATCTGCTGCTGGTGATAAATTGATATTCTACAGAGGCCACTTTTATTCCATCCACAACACAAAAGGAAGAGTTAGAAGTGAAGTTTAAAATCTGCTAACAGGGATTTTGCAAGCAGAGAAAGGTAATAGCATGTTACACTTTCTGTCAAGTCACTCTACTAAACTCAGACAATAACTGAAAGAGATTGACTTTCAAACTATTTGGAATAATGAAATGCAGAAAGTCCCTTTGCAAACCCCGTAGGATAATGGAATGCACCCTTCCAATTTACTTTTTTTTCCCCCCTGCTCCTTATTTCATCCCTTCATTCCTATGTCTAAGCACTTATTTCTGCCTAGAGCATCAGCCTTCAGGAGAAGCCTGTGTTAAAGTTCAGTTTCACACACTTGGCCACTGTAGGCAACAAAATGGCTGCAACGCAGCACTCTACACAATTGCTCAGGGATATAGACCAGTGACATCACCAGGACTTGCTCCCAAGCAAGATGAGGCTGCAGACAGCACGGTGCTTCTGCACCACATTTGCTTCAAGGTAGGAAGAACCTCCAGGGCTAGAATCCTGACCCTGCTAACTCAACATCAATGAGACTTTCAAATGAGCTAGAGGATGTTGGAGTTCTGAGAGAGCAGGTCAACATTAAGCACAGAGAACCACCTTCTTCCCAAGGACATGTGTCCTATCAAGGGCAAGTGTTTTCAGAATTGCAAAACCAGGGATTTCGTCATCCTCTTATTTTCTGTAGACTCAGAGTAGTATTATGCTCAGAGGAACATAGTGCCAGTTTTTGGACACAGATAACAGAACTGACTCTTATGACTTGTACGACCCTACTGCTAGGTAGCTCACACACCACTGCCTCTGAACTACTTAGAAGCAGACAAGCATCTACCAAGGGATGTGCTCACCCCATCAAGCTTAAGCCAAGGGCAAACAGCAAGCAGCCCAATGGCTCAAAATTCGAATCATGTGCAAAATTCCCACAGAACATTTCACATGAACTTTCCATGTACAGGATGTGTACAGAGCTCCAACGGTGCTATGAAATGGCATTTATGGGCAGAAAGTTAAACATATGGAATGGGGAATTCATTGTTTTCCCGTTGCTCAACATTTCGCTAGGACTTGTAGAATGCATAAGTCTATGTGTTCCTTCTTCCCAATAACCTTGCAGAGCAAATCACTCGCTATCATTCTTAGCGCATCAAGGCAGTGCTCTCAGATTGCACTCACTGTGGAGTAATCCCCACAAAATACAATGAGGTTGACTTAAGTTGAGAATAATTATGCCTAGAACCAAATCATAGACATATGAGGTCAACCAGTCTGAGGCTACAAAAACAAAGAGAATGCAAGACCAGAAGAGAGAAAAGCTTGCCTACGTCCTCATAGTACATTCTCTACCCTTTGAATTCACTGGAGAAAACAATGTTCTGCATAAAGCCAACACACCATTTAGGTAGCCTCACTAATTTTATGTGCTGCCTTAACTATATCTTTGTGAACAAAGGAATGGAATGGTGAAACACATTCTATAGCATTCCAAATCAAGATTCACACATTATATGCCAGTACTGAACTATGCAGATTTATATTTTGCTGCTTCCAATTCCTAAAACTCCATTACCTTATACTACAACGTTGCTTCATTCTGTTTGGATATCAACCGTAACTTAGACTGAAGTGCACTATCAGAAGTTAAACCACCTACAGTTCCCAGAGTGAACCAAAACCAACCCAACACATTCCTTCCTTCCAACAGTGATGCTCATCTGTCCCAGGAAAAGCTTCATCAAGCCCATAACATGAATCAAGCAGTCATCTAGAACACAAAGAAACCAGAAGCTTTGTTTTTTCTTTATATAAAAAAAGGTCAGGTTCTTCCAGCCCTTAGACCCTCACCACTTTCTGATGATCACCATCAGAAACAGACCTTAACAGCCTGCAATGTGTACAAATAATGCAGGCTGCATCAGTAGGCTCTGGTTACAGCTCAAAGCACAATTTGGATGGGTAAATAATAAACCACTAAGCAAATGAGTGCTAAAAAGAACGGAAGGAGATGGACACAATCTTAACTATGTGAGAGACCGACAGAATGTTGCCTAGGCCCATGCAGAATACAAATGTGTTACAGGTCCAAATCTTTGATCTTCCTTTTTGAGGAGCTGTGATGTATAAAACCAATTGTACCAAGCAGACAGTCCTATGCTGAATATAAATTATCCTGCAACTATGGTCATGTTTAAAAGAAAAGAAGGGAGAGCTATACAGCCATGAAGCAATAATACTTCTTTATGGGGTGGGGGAATTAAAATGCAAACAGTTATCTGTATGGGTAACCACCTTGAGGGAAGAAATAAAGCAACAGATATGCACCTTAACTGTTTAATTTGACAGAAGGAGGATTTAAATAGAAAACGTTCACACATCTTGCAATAACAGCAGCATCTCGTTACTTGCTACCCATGGGAGAGAGTTGATTCTGCCATACCATCCATATATATATATATATATATATATCCCAAGAATCATTGACTTAAGTAATGTTCAATTTTATTTTCAGATTTGACTACAGACACAGCTGAAGTAGAACATGCCTGGAAATTTAAAGACCTCTCTCTGCCAGCTCACTCTTCAAAAGAGCTTGCCTTTTGCTTATCAAGCTAACCCCTTGCGTCTCCAGGGTTTAAGTCATTGATATTCTGATCCCGTCTTTGCAATTGACACCCACATGCCAATTTTTCTACACAGATACACACACACACACACACACACACACTATAGATGAAAAAAAAACATGGGGGATTGTTTTTAGTTTTTGCTTAGTGGGGTTTTTCTGTGCTGTACTGTACTGCATAATGTAAACTCATGCCTCCCTCTCTCGCTTTCACCTTTATCTTATGCAAAATTTACAGTTTTGGAAGCATTCAAGTATGAAGGCATACCCCGAGTTCCCTTTCACATTTCAGATGTGAAAACAAACCATTTCTGACAAGCCAATAAAGCTTTATTTGAATATATTTACTGAAGTCAGTCTCTCTCTCTCTCTCTCTCTCTCTCTCTCTGGTTGTGTGTGTGTGTGTGAGAGAGAGAGAGACAGAGAGAGAGAGAGAGAGAGAGAGAGAGAGAGAAACTTAGCCCCATCCTAGAGCTGTTGGCAATGTTACAGGAGAGGTTTCTGCTGGACACTTTCTGCACAATAAAGAACTCTGTTTAACTTGCAAGCTTGCACACCAATTCCACTGACAGAAGAAGTTACTCATCTGTCATTTTCCATTACCAATCTGGGAAACATTGTCAGATAAAATATAATAAAAACTCCACGAGGTTCTAATTAGATTTTTAAATCTATGGTGTTACTTATGGAGGAAATCATTCCTTTTGTAAGAGTTCACTGGGCAGAGGAAGTAACTTCTTGCCTCAATACTTCTCCCAGCCCCACTTTAAACAATTCATTGCTCCTATTTCAGCCCAATATTTACTTGCATCCTTTCATTCATTTATAACCTTGGCTCATTTGCAGCAAGAGTTCTGCTTGGATCTTCTGCATTTTCATATTTACAACAGTGGGAAGTTCAAATATTATTGCCTTCACCATCGCATCATGCTCAGAGACCCTAAGAGATGCTCTGAGGGCACCTTCCATTTTTGATGGGCCAACACTCCTGCATTATCAATATTCTCTGTTTTTTATTTTATTTAAAAACATCAGATCAGGATGGAAGTCACAGGCTTTGCCTAAGGCAACAGGCTCTTTAATTTTTGCCTTCTTAACAAAATGCTTACACTCAAGCTATTTTAAGGCAATGCTGTATTCGCATGGTCCACGCCCCCTCCCCCCTCCCCACGCATGATCATACAGAAGCTAATGCCTCCTCCCTGCTCCTCATCTCAGACCTCAGAGCTACTTCTTACAAGTTATTACTATGCTAAGCTTGCATGCAGGAAAAGAGAGACCCTCCGTTCTGCAGCCAAACTGCAACATTTCCATCTGCAGCCAGCAGGTTTTAAAGATCCACACTGTGACCAATTTCTACCTAGGAAGGGGGAGGGAGCCATAATCTGATTCCTGTCTTACTCACTTTCTCCCAATACTGCTAAGGAAAGAGAAAGCCGTGCTTAGCTTAGTGCTCCCTAAGTCTTTCCTTTCCAGGTCCATGCGGAGCTGGAACTAGCTATTAGAGATATGAAATGTTAAATTTCTTCTCCCGCTCATTCAAGGACTCAAGGAAATCACCAGTATATTTGCCAACCCACCCAAACACTGATCTGTGCTACATCTTATTCTAGTGTGCCAAATGCACAGTAACTTTAAGCTGATCACCAGAGTTCAAGGAAATCCTTCAATCAGGGAACTTCATTTACAATCCAGCACATCGCTGGTCGGTGGAGTGTTGTTGTCTTTTTACTTTCCCTTACTCTGTGTGTGTGTGTGTGTGTGTGTGTGTGTGTCACACACAGAGCAGTTTTTTTAATGCAATCCCCCGTCTAATGCAGTCTCCATTACAGGATTAAAACTGCATCAATAAAAAACTCCATATGTTTTTCCTCCCCCTTTCACATCTCTGACCCCCCCCCCCTTCACTAAGTACTCTGCACCCTGACACTCAAAAGCTGAACTGCTCGCGATGGGCTTTGCACTGCAAAAGGGAGGGAGAAAGACCGTGCGATCTTCAGCGATCGGGAGAGATCACATCACATATCAGTTTGCGGAAGGGGGGTTCCCCTCCTCCCAGAAGCTACACAGTTTGGCTTCTCTCTCTTCCACCCCCCCCCCCTTGAAAAATCTAAGCCACGGGTGTACCAGCGCTGCATACCTAGATTGCAAAGATCTACAGCGTGTGGAAGGATAAGGAAGCGAAAGGAGAATCTAGATAGAGAGAAGGCGCTTGCTTGTAGACCGCCAGCGCTCTCCCTAGACGAAGTCTCTCCCCAGCTCTCCTCGAGACGCACCACCCACTTTCTCTGCCTTACCTTGAATTCCTTATGTGAGCAAGAGAATCTCCGTCTAAAGCTGCTCCTCAGCCATGCCGTTCCTTTCCGTTGCCTTCAAGTCAGACCCAAAGCGCACCATGAGGTGCGTAAAGAAAAGGAAAATCCTTGTTCTGCTCAGAATCTTGGAATGAATTATTACATGGGTACGGGTACGGAGGAGATCGTCTAGGACGAAAAACAGTAAGATCAAAACCGAAGTAGTGAGACTGGTGGGGGTGGCTGGGAGGGGGGTGCCCTTCTTCCACAGCGTGAGGAGAGACAGAGACAAAACGAAGAGATCCTAACTTGAGAGTTATTCAAACACGCTTGCTGCTGTAGGGCAAGTGAGAGACCGGGGAAGGCAAGTGAAGTCCGCGGACCCACCGGCTTCTCAACTACCCAAAGGAACGCTGGAAAGAAGAGGATGGGGCCAAGTCTGGCAAGCTGCTGGCTGGCTTGGTTTGCGTTTCTTTTTTTCTGAAAAAAAGAACTTGCACGAAGAGATTCGTTGCAACTTGGAAGGAAGAAATCCTCCAGCTTTATGCAATCACCGGGATGATTTACAACGTCCTTCTTTTCGAGTGCCGAGCCCCTCTGAGAGGTCGGCGGGGGGCGGCGGTGCTGGTGATGTAGGGGGTCGGAACAAGAGGCGGCTACGGGCGAGACGGTATCCCGTCCCCCCCTCCCAGGAGAGGGGAAGTCTCTTCCCCGGGGCTCAGGTGGCCAGTCTGCCCCAAGAGCTGTCTCGGTCTACGCAGGACTCCCCCCGAAGGCGAGCCGGAGATTCCGGGCGCCCTCCCGCCCGGGGGCTCGCGATTCGTGTTGCTGCTGCTACTGCTGCTGCTGCTCCACGCACTGGCCGCATCCGCTCCGCGCTCCGGCTGCTGCCGTCTGAACTCCGCTTTCCCAACCACTGCCAGCAAGTCCTCGCCGGGGCTGACATCACTGCAAAGGAGGCGGGGAATGGAGGGGGAAATGCAAATGAGGGAGGCGGGGGAAGAGAAGGAGGGGGGTTTAAAAAAAGATCCCCCCCACCGCTTTCCTCCCGTGGTCTTAAGGGTTCTGTAAGCTGCTGCTTTCAGCTCATGGAAAAATCAGGCGAAGGCATCCAAAGCAAGGCAGAAAGACGCTCGTTTCTCCCAAAAATAATAAGTCACCTTTAATAAATAAAAGAAGGCAGGAGGCTAATAACTCGAGGATCTGACCGAGCTGGGATCGTTCTTCGGCGTTCGTCTTAGAGAAGTAACAGATGATTAATCTAAAAATTCATTTCCTTTGATCTTTTTCCTTCCCCTTTGGGTGATACCCAACTTATTCAGAGTAGTCCCATTTAAGTAAATGGAAGTAAGCGATTCTGCTCTATATATAGGGAGCTAGCTCATACTGAGACTGGTCCGTCTGGCTCAGTATTCAGCAGCCCCAATCCTACTTGGAGACCTGCTGAGGACTGAACCCAGGAGCTTCCAAGTGCAAGGGAGATGCTCTGCCACTAAGTGACAAGCCTTTGCTATTCAGCATGAATGGGGCATGGTGGTGGCTCCTAGGCTGCTTTCTTAGCAGGTGCTCTGCTCCTCACAAATGGTCCATCCCAGAAGACTCTGGGCCTGACTATCACTGGGTACCACCTGCTATGTTTATTTGAATTCTGTTTGATTCCAGTCTTTCTCCAGGGACCTCAAGAAAGGGCAGCTCATTCTCTCCACCACCCATCCATGAGGCAAGGTGACACAATTGCCTTGGGTGGCAGGATCCATAGGGGCAGCAGATCTAGGCTCCAAGGAATGCATTGCCTGCTGCTACAGCTGCTGCAGCAGCCGCAATGGCCGCGATGTGCTCCTTGGAGGCTGAATCGGCCACATCCTTGGCAGCACTCCCCATGCTGCCTCTACAGCAGCCTCTTGGCAAATAGGAGGCACTGCTAGTTTCCTCCCACCCTTGTTCCCAATGTAGATCTCCCCCCTGCCCTTGTTCCTGATGTTCACTCACCTATTCTCCCCTAGGGGGAGGTGTCATTTTGTGGTTTGCCTCAGGTGCCAGAATGTAGAGGTAAATCATGGGTGGAGCTGGGGGGGCCTTAGCCCTGGGCGTAGTTTTTTTTTGGGGGGGGCGCATTCCTCATTACACCCTCCCAGCATGCAGTGCACTATGAGAAAGAGGCAACAGGCATGGACCCTCCCAGCCCTGCACCACATTTGCAAGTCTTGCAAAGCAGCACTGGACTCACAGGGCGCCATAAGCGCACCCCTCAAAGCAGGGCCGTGTTGACTGGCTGGGCTCCCCACTGCATGACCAGGCAGGCAGTGCAGCATGGCCTCACAGCTCCAGTGGGCAGGGGTTGCTCCAGACATGTCCTTCCACCACGGTGTGCTGTGCACTCCCTGGTGCCCACCTACCCCAGGCACCAGCAAGGAACACTCCACCACTACCAAAATGCATTGGGGCAGCCCTGCCCAAATTTTAGCTTGGTTGGCAGAACATTGTCTTTGCATGTAGAAGTTTCCAGGCTCATAGGCAGGTAGAGCTGGGAATTGTCTCCTGCCTGAATCCCTGAAAAGCTGCTGCCAGTCAGTGTGTACTGAGCCAGCTGGACCAGTGGTCTGACTCAGTATAAGTCAGCTTCCTCTGCACAACATCTTTGTGAGATACTAATGGAAAGAGAAGGGGAGGGGCATTAGAGACTGACCTACAGTCACCCAGTGAGTTTAATGACTCAGTGATATTCCTAGTCTTGCCAGCGGAGGCTAGCCCGACTGTTAGGCAGAGTGACAGCTTTGCCTCAAGCAACTGATTGATGCAAAGGCAGCAAACTGTTAAGTTAGGTGAGTGATGGTTATTGTCTTTCTAGTGCCAGGGAGGGGGAGAGGACTTTGTGGCATTTTCTGACCCAGACATCAAAAGGACTTGGCTGCATCCTGGGCTACTATGTACCTTGACTTGCCAGGGAAGAGCGCCATTTGTTGTCCGCCTAATGCAGCAAATTGTCTTGGGCCAGCCCTGATGACAACCTAACCAAGCCTTCCCTGAACTCTTTCCTCCAGATGTTTCAGACTGCAACTCCATTCCTAATCACTGGCCATGCTGATTGGGGCTTATGGGAATCACAGTCCAAAACATCTGTAGGACAACAGATTGTGCAGGGCTTTTCTAAACTCTGCAACCAAAACCCTAGAAAGG